ATCTAACGTGGAAATTTTGAGCAAAATCGATTTAAGTAATTTTTTCAAATAATCCCATTGACTTAACACGTGAAAATTTGTGCGCGTGCCACGTGCAAAAAAGTTAATTATATTTCAAGCGATCGACACTCCCTGACCGACTACCGACGTACTCAAAAAACAAAGAAAATCTATCGAGCCGATTTTCAGCAAATCGAGAAAACCCGTTTTGGCCCATTTCGTAACGTTAAACCAATGGCGGCTGTACGTGCAATTTGCACCCCCTTCCCGAGGCTGCCCGAAACGGCGCCGCCGGCTCATGGTAGATGCCGGGGCGGCCACCGAGCACATAGAAGCCCATCGCATTACAAGCACCCGTCTGCGAGAAATTCGATGCCGAAAATCCACCTAATGTTGAAGCCTATGGGCCTAAAACACGTGCACGTGCTCCGTGCAAGAAAAATAATTATATTCTTAGCTGAGGGTGTTTCGTGGTAGATAATCTGCGGGGGCAGCTGTCCTGAAAATTTAATCAAAATCTGTCGGTTCGTGTGCAAACGGTGCAAGGTACCCCAATTCGCCGCACCAAACACGAATCCTATCCCGAAATGGAAACACCCTCAGTTTGTTTTTCAATAGAAAAACACAATTCTAAAGAATAGTGTTTGTCTAATGAAGAAACAACCTTCGGGTACCTACTGCACCAAACACGATTCCTACATGCCGGGTGTCTTAAGCACAGCACGAGCCGGGCAGTAAAACTATGACCAAGAAACTGTCGGTGTCAAAATGCCATCTCATTTGATAGGCTGGGCAGGAAACAAAAGTTTACTGCCCAGGTTTACTGCCCAGGGCAATGACCTCTGAACTGTAGAGCTTATCGCATTGTCCAGAGGTATTGACCCAGGGAATGTATAATTGCCATCATTAATTTCATGATAGTTGCATCGTAAAATTAGAAAACTAACATTTTTGGTAGAAAATATCTGCTCTGCTTATAAAGGGCTTTGAAATATTTTGTATTGGTTACAAAGCCAAAATTATGGTTAGATATGCACATTGCACCTATTAACCGAAATCCATTATCGCTTGTTGTCTTATCTTCGTTTTATATGTACACCGTTTCCTTGGGCCTAACTTTATTTATTTATTGAGTTATTATTTGATAGTTGTATGGTCTTTTCCACGAGACAAACATGTAAAATATGGAAAATATAATGTATTTCACGAACGTTTTGCCAAAGGGCATCAACACAGCAAGATTACATATATAAAGCAAAGATTTTTGCTAGAAGACTGGAAAATTCACGTTAACCCGGCAGACGGTGGGCCTACTAGCCACCTTCCGCGCGGTGGGGGGGGGGGGCATTTTTTTTGCCCCCTCCCCCCGTATCTCCGAAACTACTGGACGGATCCGGAAAATTCAAACGGCGTTCGATAGCCCTGTCAAATTTGTCGGGGGAAACCAAATTTCATTGACCTCGGGGTCACCGATGACGTCACAGGTCAGGTCAAAGATAAAATGTTGAACCGTTCACGAGGCTTCTAGGGAAAGCGCTATAACACCGAGTAAAACGCATTTTGTCGAAAATCAGCGATAAGGCGTCAGTTGTCTAGTACATATGTTGCTATTAGAGGTCACTGGTCATACCAGGTCGGGTCACAGGTCAGGTCACCAAAGGTCGCCAAGGGTCACCACATGAGCCCAACTTTACTAAGGTTATGCGATGCATGTTTTATGGCCAGTTTTTCATTTCCAACTCAATGGTGTTGGTTATAAGACCATCAGGTACGGTTTAGGCCACTTTCTGGTGGAGGTCAGGTCAAGGTCAGGTCAAAAAAGGTCAAATTCCAATGTTGATATTTTTGCATAAAATGGGTACCTATCGATTCGATGCAGCTCGTCACGGGGAGTCTAATGGTGGTCTTTGTTTTGCGCTACGAGCTCTAAAATTGCTAAAAATTGAGTTTGAAAATTTGACGTCACCAATTTTGAACAGTTTTTTCGCTATAACTTGGCCAAAAAAAGAGGTATCGATCTCAAATTTGGTATGTAGATAGAAGGCGGTAGGGACTATCACATATATTCCGGTTTTTTCGAAATTCAAAAAACTTTTTGGATTTTTCGGCTATTATATTCAAAAAATCTATTTTTTTTATTTTTGGGGTCAAAATCAAAAAAATTCGAAAAACCGAAATAGCAGTTTTGTAGTCCTTTCAATTTCACACCTTTTATGTCTGAAACATTTTTCTGTATCTCTAAAGCTGTAGGCCTGACAGCTCTTCCCGCGAAACCTTTTTTTGGGTCGAAAATGGCAAAAATGACGTCACTCTGACGTCATTAGCGGCAAACCTATCATAGCCTTTGGAAAAAAATTTTGGTCACCATGTGCGCTAGCTGCTCCCGGGAGGGTACTGAAAGGTTGGTGACGATCGGCGCAGCGGTTCTCGAGATATACTGAAAAAACTAAAGGGGGGGGGGCAAAAAAATGCCCCCCCCCCCCACCGCCTGGAAGGTTAAATCACTAGGAATAGTATACCTCTTCTTGTTCTTATGTCGTGACAAATCATTCATGTATTATGTTCCTTGGATATCCAATTGTTGTGCCATTCTGAGGTAATATTTTCAGAGACGATTCCGTTTGAAGTAAGGTATTTTGAGGCATTTTCTTCTATGAATTTCCTTCAAAGCTTTATCCACAGCAGTAACGCAATCATTGTTAGGAAATTATGGACAAAACAATTGTATAAATGTCATCAAAACCTGTCAAAACGTTTTAATAGGTATGCGGCATGTAGCAAAAATCTTACTGACCTCAGCCGTACGAAATTATTTGGAAACTCGGCTTGCAAAATTTGACTCCGGCCCTCGTGCTCCGCACTCGGGCCTCCGTCAATTTTGCAAACCTCGTTTCCAAATAATTTCGTCGGCCCGGTCAGTAATATACCAGTAAAACGCCTTTTGGGCGAAAAACGAGCGAGCGAGATGGTGAGCCCTGCACGTGCGGAAGGGGGAGAGGGTACTTCCAACGGGCTTGTGCAAAGTACCCTTCTAACCGGTCGCTAGCGGTGTGCACAGCAAAATTTGAACGCAATCGGCCCAGCCATTCCTGAGATCTGGAAGCAGCATTCTGCACGTGCGCACGTGCAAACGGGGTCCAAAATGACCTTTGCACGGCACCCTACTAACCGGTCCCCAGCCGTGTACCTACCAAATTTGAGCGCAATCGGCCCAGCCGTTCTCGAGATCTGGAAACGCCCCCTGCACGTGCGCACGTGCAGTATCACCCTAACCGCAACACATGCGAATGCATTGCCTGGTGGGTGCCTACCTGTATGCCAAGTTTCAGCGAAATCGCCCCAGTAATTACCGAGTTACTGAAATGGGAACAAATTTGGCACCTCTTCTTTTTGCATTTTGCACGTGCAGTGGGGGTCCCTCACATAGATCAAGAATATCCGACCTTTGGTAGAAGGGATGCAGCTACCCAACAAAAATTACCGCAAGACAATCGCCCAAGCGGCTGCTGAGATATGGGCCTCTCAAAATCACTACTTTTGCAAAACAGCTTGAACACCCTTGACTTTTCACGTGGCACGTGCCACGACGGTCACTGAGATGTGTCAAAAGTAGTCAATTACGGGGTAGAAGGAATGGGGCTACCCAGCAAAAAAGACCGCAGGCCAATCGGTCCAGCGGTTGCTGAGATATAAGCCTCTCAAAAGCGTTACAGGCCGGGCCGGGCCGGGCCGGGCCGCTCATACTGAGATTTTTCCGTTATATTGAAAAGACTCACTTCGCTCGCTGCGCTCGCTCGCTCGTAATAATCCTACCCCGAAATGGAAACACCCTCAGTTTGTTTTTCAATAGAAAAACACAGTTCTAAAGAATAGTGTTTGTCTAATGAAGAAACAACCTTCGGGTACCTACATGGCTAGGGACCGGTTAGTAAGGTGCCGTGCAAAAGTCAGTTGGGACCCATTTTGCACGTGCACACGTGCAGGGTGCCGCTTCCATATCTCGAGAACGGCTGGGCTGATTGTGCTCAAATTTGGCACATCGCTAGAGACCGGTTAGTAGGGTGCCGTGCACAGTCAGCTGGAGGTACCCCCTCGAAATTTCGCACGTGAAAGGCTCACCCCCTCGCTCGCTCCGTTAGTCGCCCCAAAAGGCGTTATACTGGTTACGGAGCGCGCGAAGCGAGCGGAGTATTACGTAGAATAACGGAAATTTCTGAGTATGAGCGGCCGGCCGGCCGTGGTCACGATTTTGCGACGCTTATATCTCAGCAACCACTTGACCGATTTACAAGCGGTAATTTTTGTAGGGTAGCTTCATTCCTTCTACCAAGTATTGGACTATTCCCGATGCATGTGGGTGACCCCTTATGCACGTGCCACGTGCAAAACGAAGAGGTGTCAGTTTTTTTTAATTGCAATATCTCGGTAACTACTTGGCCGATTGCGCTGAAACTTGGCATGTAGGTAGGCACCCACTACGCAATGCATTTGCATGTGCAACAGTTGGGGTGCTGCCGCACGTGCGCACGTGCAGGGGTCGATTCCAGATCTCGAGAACGGCTGGACCGATTGTGCTCAAATTTGGCACATCGCTAGAGACCGGTTAGTAGGGTGCCGTGCACAAGTCAAGTTGGAGGTACCCCCTCGCAATTTCGCACGTGCAAGGCCCGCCCTCTCGCTCGCTCCGTTAGTCGCCCCAAAAGGAGTTATACTGGTAGATTGTGGACGCTCTTACAGTCTGTGGCTATGAAATGTATCGCCGTATTGACACTTACCCCTTTCTGTATTAGTCTAGTGGAGCCTAGACCACCGGCATCGGTAGTGACATGACACCGCACATAACTACATACGCTTTCATCACCGATGGTTTATAAACAATAGGAAACAACAGCCTCACACCCGAAAATAACAGTTAATTGTCAATATTGTAAATTTAGAATGCAGACAAATGCTATACTTAAACGTTAAAACATTATAATGGCCGCTCTTCTTGTTCGCAGGTCATGTCCATGTTCTCCTTCTTCACCTACCTCGAGTACATGGTAGCTGTGGAGGGCGGCGGCGCCCTTGTCGTCTTCGGTATGGCCTTTCTGCTGAGCCTGGCTGACGGAGCGGTGTCGGGTGCACTGCTGCTGGGGCTCAGCGACGGCGCGGCGCGCGCCCGACTCAGCGTCTGGCTGCTGTGGAACGTCGTATACTCGCTGGTCGTGCTGCTGCTGATCTGTGCCGACCTCAGCGCGGTGGTGGTCGTAGCCGGTATCGGTGTGCTCAGCGGACTGCGCACTCCAATGGCGATCGGCTTCCGACTGCTGTGCATCTGGACCGGCTGGATGTATCAGAACAGTCTGCCGGTGTCGACGCCGCCGCCGGCCAGGCATCACTGACCGGACCTATAGTGCGTTTGGTTTCACGTCTCATAGTTCCTGACTGGCGTTCAGTGGGCACATATGCATTTAGGCACATCATGGTAGATTCATTAGTTTCTAGGCTGTAGATTCGCGTTATGTTGGAAAATTCCGTTACCTAGGCATATGTGAAGATAAATCAAAATCTACTATCATTAAAGGAAATGGTTCACTTTTAACATGGAGTTTTGAATTGGAATAGTAGTGTTGTATCTTGAGCTGAGACGAGCACAAGTCAAAAGCTTTTACGGCTTAACGATCACCCTGGGTAAGGATATTCCACTCGTTCCGAAAAGAGTGTCCTAAACAGGATATTGGTGTCCTAATGAAGAAATACCCAGAATGTAGCCACCTCAGATTCATGCTGCTCATGCTGCTTACAGCCAATGGGTTTGAACTACGCAATATGATTAGTCAACGCGTAATAAGCTTCCTCGTCTAATAACATTTTTTTTACAGAATAAAATTTTTCCTATATTAAAATATAGGAAATAATCTTTTTTATGTAAAAAGGTGTTATGTTCTTTGCTGATCATTTGCTGAGCATAAAATCATACCTAAATCAATTGCAAAAAAAAACTAATTTCGGGAAAGTGAACTATTCCCTTTAATCATCTATAGATCAAGTAGATGACGTGCCAAATCTGTTTGTTGCCTTGGCTAAAAGCAAAAATGTTGCTAATAATAATCCTTTGTTATATAACAAGTTAGCTATGCAATGACATCCACTGGCGGATCCAGGGGAAATCCTGCCCGTAGCGTCCGAAATCGGCAAAAAATTGTGTTTTTTTCGACAATAAGACGAAAACTAAACAACTTTTTTAGAAACGTTTGTCTTAAACTGCACAGCAGTGCGAGAGGAATCAAAATCCGACTAGTTTTTGGAATTTGGAGAAACTTTTTGGGGTATGCCCCCCCCCCCGCAGTGTCCAAGACCGCCTTTCTGGGCCCACCAGTGGTGATATCGAAGAGCATCCTCTTCGATGTCATTGCTTGGCTAACTAGTTACATAACTGAATGAAGTTGCTTCATTTAAATGTTGATTCCCCTCATTCGTTTCGTAATTCGTATGTGATGCTTGACGTTTGATTTACTAAACGTCTCATTGACCATCGGTCATTTTTTTTGTATTTTGTATTGTGTGGGCTTGATCATCGGCATACATAAACTAAAACACACACACACTTGTGTTTGAGTGGATGTCTGACAGAGTGTCTGACGTTTAAGTATTATGTTAACGTTCAGACATCAAAGCTTTTCAGTTTTCGCTAAAAGGAACACACCTATTTTAATGGAAAACAATTAATTTATAAATATGCTTACCTACAAGCTATAAATCGATTTAATCACTCGATTCAATCGCTCAAATGATTCAAAGGTATCACCGTCCTTCCAAACCCGTGATTTATCACTATTACTAATGCAAAAGGACCTTTATGTGACATACGGTATCAAATCACGGTATAACATTTTTATACGACGCTGTTGTTTCCAAGTTCATCAACTACTAAGTTATCTCCGAGACTTCACGGGTGGTCTTGATGACAGATTAGGTGAATATAATTTTACCAAGAAGATAGTGATTAGGTAGGAACCACAGCCGAAACAGCTCTTTTGACGTTAAACGGTTTTTAGAATCATCGAGCATATTTAGCTCACCGTTGGCCAGAAACTGTCCGTTAGAAAGATAATGCCGACTGCAGGAGCCTGGCCTGCGGTTGGCGCAGACACAACATCCGTCATTTACTTCTTCACCTAATGAGGAAGTAGAGAGTCCAACGGATCACCTGTTGCTGGGTGCTCACCGCAGCCCGCTGTAACTGGCGGACCACAAAAACACTCGGAGTAGCCTGCGTGGTACCGGTCGGACAGAGCCGGCGACAGCGGACAGCCCGTGAGCGCTGCGCTGCACGCTGATGGATGGACCCGAACGAGCGGATGGCGCCGTCCCGCCATTGTCACCCTGATTTAGGGCCGGCCGGCGGGCGATAAAGCCGGAGTGATGGACGGAGGAGGGCGGCGGTCGCGATGACGGATGCCGCTGACGAGCCGTGGACGGTGCGCTCACACAGCGGACGCGCAGTCTCCGGACGGCCGCGCACCGTCCCGGCCCACCATGGTGTTCCGCACGTCTGTGCTGTCCGCTCTGACGGCAGTGTTGGTCCTCGCTGGCGCCACGAAATCCGAGCTGCACGGGCATCGGAAGCCGATGTCTGCGGCCTCCGGCTGGTCTCGGCGCCGTCCGCCAGCGCAGCCCACGAGGCTGTGGGAAGCAGTCGGTTCGGCGGACAGAACCAAACGACTGGTCACACCGGGAGGGACTCCTGCGCCCCCTCAGCGCCTGGGGTCGCTCGGCCAAGACCGAGCTGCGGAGGGCAGGGGGCCGAGGCAGCCCGACAGCCGACGACGGCGCAGCTGCCTCATCTGTCGGCCAGAACAGCCGCCGGAACCAGCAGGAGCCGGCCGCTGGATGAGCGCAGATGTCCCAGTGAGTGTGCATGATCTAGTGCACCATGCCTATGGCTGGCCTTCTCATGGTGGTACACTAGCGGCACCTGAACCGTCCATGCCATTGGTCGACCCCACTCAGCGACCTGGACAGCTCACAGAGACACCAGGTCTGTCCTCAGTCACACAGACGCACTGGAACCTCACCGCCAGCTCGAGAGAGAAGCTCAAAGAACCCGTGTCACGATCAGGTCGGCTGTGGCCACTGACTGACGGCACCATGGACCCACGAGCCGTGACCTGGGACCGAGAGGGCAGTCAACCGGAAGCGTACCCGCAGTACACACGAGGATCGAAAATTCGGCAGATGTCCAGAAGACGCCCAAGGAAAGTCTGGAGGCTCCACTGGCCGACGAGGAAGGTGGTGCCTCGGCGCGGGGTGTCGGGAGCCGATCGGGGCCGGCGCGGGCCCAGACCACCCGGCTGGGGCTGGCTGCCGCGCGTCGGCTGGCGCCCGCTCAGCATCGGCGCTCGTCTGGTGAGCGCCACCCGCGCGGCGCAGGCGGTCCGGCGGCGGACGGGCGCGCTCAGCCGGCCGGCGGCGGCCCCGTCAGCGCGGCCGCTGACGGCTGTCATGGCCAGCCGGGCGCGCGCCCCGCGCCGTCTGCCGCTCGGCGGCCGGCCGTGGTACGGCGCCCGGGCCGACGGGGCAGCGGCGCCGCCGGCGCGGCTGCACCCGGCCCTGGACGTGGCGAGTCTGCTCGGTAAGCTCACGGCGGCTGCGGACGGCCACCAGTCGGCGGCCCGCCGCGCGCGCTCCGAGCTCAGCTCGACAGGCCTCCACAGGGGAAAGCAGCGCGTCCTCCACAAGGTGAGGCCGCCCAAAGATATGACACTATCAGAAACACGACAGTACACCCTCGAGCGTAGAACGATAACAAATACGATCACAATGAATGTTGCATGCAGTAAGCAGAACATTATGTGGGTAGATGCGGTGGCAATGTGACATGGGGGCCCGATGACTCACAAACGGGCTTGGCATTCCGCCAGGACTCAGACGTTCACTGTGGCGGGACGCCCTGGAACTGAAGTTGTGAACTAAGCAGTGTCTTCATATAAATTGAATGCATATATTTCCATTATTACTATTCACACAAAATCCATTGCGAGACATTATTAGGCTGCGAATCACAGCTGGATCAAATGCATAAACAAACCATATTAAACCAGGTATGACTTCTAAACTCACTTTTAAAATGTAGACTGCGGTGATCACACTGCCACCGGGAAATTGTGACAAAGCGTGATGCTATTATCAGGGTGAGCAGTTGATGTAATGGCGCAGATAGCCCGATGAAGGACTGCTCCGGTTGTTTTTCAATAGAAAAACACAATTCTAACAAATAGTGTTTGTCTAATGAAGAAACAACCTGCGGTTATGACACGCCGACTTAGCACCGGCCGTTTTAAGGCCGGTACCGAGCACACCCTGTCATTGTAACATGTGTGTGAAATGTCACCAGGTCGGTACCGGGTATAACCTGCCGGGGGACACCACTGACGGCTACCCGTCGGCTTCCAAGGCCGCCATGAAGGAGCAGTGTTTGTGCGAGGATTTCAGTCGGCCAGGCACCGCGCTGGGCGTCCTCTCGCTGGCCGCTCTGCTGGTGTACGCGCTGACAAGCACATCCAACAACTACCAGGCGGTGGCCAACGCGACGGCCACGGGACGCGCCCGGGCGGACGGCGCCCATTACCACGGTACGCTGGAGGGACGGCGCTGAACTGGGCCGGAGGGAAGGTGAACGGTATTCACTTTGGTCTGGGGTGATAGATAAGCTGTTCGGGGCTTTATCGAGCCTTTGATGCATGTCCATAAGAAGCATCAATAATGGTAAAAGGACTAGGTAGGACTAGGAGATACTGTTCCGATTGGTCTTATCTGATTTTTAATCATTTTAGGCATTTCTCACAAGACACTGTACTGATAACGTGATTAAATTTCTTTCAGAATTGGCCAGTTTCTTACTGGATCAGACGCCGAACGACGAGACGAGAAGAACGAATATTCTCAAGATATCCAGCAATTTAACTGAAGTTTTTGAAAGCTTGATCGCTCCGCCAGTTAACTGGAAGATGCATCCTGCTGAGAGCCACCGTGTACGCCGGCACCTGGCACCATCCGTCAGTCCGGTGTCAACGTCTGGAGCTCGGAGGAGCACCTCGTCTCACCTCAGACCTCAGAGGAGACCATGCGCCGGCAAACAAACCTGTCTCAGCTCCCCGCTCCAGTCCCCCGAGTCTAAGGAGCGCACTTCACTGAACTCGACTGGTCAGCTCACGTTGCCCTTGATGTCGAGGCACAGAACCACACATCAAGGAAGTGTCAGTGTGTTATCGAAGAGATCGCGTCGGCGTGAGGCAGCTGAGGCTAAAAACAACCCCAGTGGATGGCAGGTGGCACGCAGGGCTCCAAGACGCCGTGGAGCGTTTGAGTCTCGCGGCCGGCCGGTTCAACGACACCGCAGAGTGGACGGTCAAACACCGCTAGCCAGACACTCACCCGGCCACAAGTCGTGGAAGGCACGCTTTAAAACGATCATGGCCAAACTGGGACGCAGCATCCGCGGCAGCCGCCGGCCGAAGGGTTACAACCACCACGAGTGCGACTGCCCGGAGCGCACCGGGCTCAAGGAGCTGCTCGGCTTCCTGCCGATCGCAGTGGTGCTCGGCTACACCACCACTGTCTCGGCCTCCGCAGCGGCGGGCGGCACCACCTCCGGCGGCGGCAGCACCACCTCCGTCACCGTCAGCGGCGGAAACACCGTCACCAGCACCAACACCAACACGCCATCGCTCACCAACACCGATAACGACGTCATCACGGTCTCTGCTCAGGCCAACCCGCTCAACACGCTGACCAACACGGCGTCCAACCAGGACAACGACATCATCACCAACACGGCCCGCCACCTGGGCGCGGCCGCGGACTTCAGCACGCCGCCGACACTCTGGTCTCTCCTAGTGCCGCCTCGCGTCGCACACAAACGGACATCTGGAAAAGTGCGGCTGCCTTCCAGGACAGGTTCCAGCCCTCTCCCAGAGATTCAGGAAGCACTGCAGGAGAGGGTGGCGACTACGGGCGAGCTGATCTCTGGCCGGGCAGTGCCACGCTCCCTTCCAGCAGTGCCAGGAAGAGCCGTGAGCGGCACGATGAGACGACCACCCAATCGAGAAGCTGACCACGGGTGGCGCCGTCCCGACCTCGGTCACCCAAGCCGGCCGCAGCGAGACCACAGGCCTACGCATCGGCAGCTTCCTGTCAGGTGAGAACCCTCATCCGATTCATCGGGTCATGCGCTTTATCCGGTCATTCACTCCGCTCCTCCGGTCATAGCGATTGTGTTTGTATAATTTCAGAGTGTTCCGCTGAACTCGTCTGACACCAACTGCATACTCGTAAGCTCACTTATCGGTCAACAAGGTTACAGGTAAACTTGAGACATTGAATCGGAAAATTGTATCCGTGACTCCCCCTTATGTCCCTGAGGTCATCTCAGGCCACGAAAGGTCCCCAGCAGTTTTTTTTTCTTCTAATAACTTTTGATAGAGACATGCTGGAACGATGGAAACACTTAGATGCGCTCAGGTCGACGATACGGATCGACTGACATGCAACATGACCTTTCCCGTCAGGTCATGACCTTGACCTGAGATCCATTTTTCAAGTTGACCTTGAAAGGTCTAATAAAAGCTCACACGATGCGTCTCGACGAGAGGAAAACGACGCTGGCAAAATAAGTATCGTACCTTTCTTGATTTAAAGTTATTGTTGAAAAACACTTTTCGTAAAAACTGCTATTTTTAGTTTTTGTCCTCCGGAGGCTAGACTATTGACCTTAACCCGCGCCCCTCTGGGGTCTGCGTATAACACGCCCTACTGAGGGGGAGGCTTCATCCCCCCTCAGTTGGGCTTCATAGCCCCCCCCCCCCCCTCCTAACTCCGAAACTACTGGGCCGATTGTCAAAATTCAAACGGCGTCTGATAGCCCCGGAAATACTGTCGATCGTAACCTAATTTTATTGACCTCGAGGTCACCCATGACGTCACAGGTTAGGTCAAAGTAAAAATTATCGATGGTTGGCTTATTCACATTTTGGGCTCTGGTCGTCGGCTTAGGTACAAGTGAGATAAGGCTCATTTTTGTTTACGCACTTATGAATAGATGCTTTAGATACCCTGAGGGTACAAGACTTGTACTTTGATTTCTAGGTCAGGGTCAGGTCAGCCTATAGGTCACGAGAATTGTATATCATGTATCAGTCACGTGACGCATGTTTTATGGTCCATTTTACTCGTGGTTTTCGAAACCAATGTCGTCTGTATCATTTGAGGTCATTTTCAGCTAAATTTACCGGAGGTCAAGTCACTTTCAGGTCAAAAAGGTCAAATTTCAAAGTTGAAATGTTTCAACAAAAAATGTGCCTATTAGATGCAGTTTGAGCTCAGAACACGATGATGCTATTTATGTTGGTGTGCGACGTCAAATACGTACTGAAGAATTGATTTTTATAATAGTGAAATTTATGCTATAATGCGTAGGTATAACTTGGCTATTTCTGAAGATATCCTAGAACTTGTTAGAGTATATCATGGGCAGGTGTTCTATCATATTATTCCGGTTTTTTCGAAAAGTAAAAAAAAAAATGGAAAAAAGATGAAAATATAAACTTTGAAATTTAATGTTAATAAGTTTCAAAATGTTCAAAATTTTGAACATCTGAGATAGCAGTTTGATAGCACTGCGTATTTGAAGTCCTTTCATGCAAGGAAATTGGATCTAGTTATCATTGAGATATGATAGCCTTTGCTCATATTAAGTTCCGAATGGTAAATGAAATGCAAAATGCTTTGAAAAAATACATATTTATTTTTTTAGAAAGGGGGTATTTTTTCAAAGAATTTTGCATTTCATTTTCCATTCGGAACTTAATATGAGCAAAGGCTATTATATCTCAATGATAACTATTTTCCTTCTAACAATGCTCAGCACAGCACTCCACCAAATATGTTCGAAATTGGATCTAGTTCAAAAACTGAGCTCTTGAGAGCAATTGCCGTAGTTCAATGTTTTGCGTCGAGATCGGTCGAACATGACGTCACTCTGACGTCATTTCCGGCCGATCTATGGTAGCTACGAAGTTCGTAGTTTGACACAAGGTGTCAAATTGATGCAGCCGAAGGTACTGAAATTTTCGCGTCGACATGTCTAGTGGTTTAGAAGTTATTGCAGAAAAACGAGAGGGGGGTTATGAGTAGCCCCCTCCCCCCCAGTGCACAGTGGGGATTTTTCCAATCTAGCACGTATTTATTCGTAGAGGGCAAACCATAGGTAGAATTGTAGCCAGATTGTGCACAGATGTTGGCTGGTGTGTCCTGGTGAGAATTTTACCTGTAAATGTGCATAATCAACATAGTATAGGGGGTTCAATTGGACCCCCCGCTCAGCCGTTTGGCCCCTGATCAAGCTAGAGCTTCGCGGAAAAGTCAAGCGTGCTGCCTATGACGAAATTAGGCCGAATATATCCAATTTCAAAGTCCAAGGTCATAAGCTGACTTTCCAAGTCAGTTTAATGACCCAACTAAAGTTGGGAAATCGAGACCTCTTGAAACTTCGCAAAGTTAGGGTGTTACGAGGTATTTTGGGGTGCTGATCACGCATTTCATGTTAGTTTTGATCACAGACGATGTCTTTATGCATTTAGGCCAGGTCGGGTCAGGTCAGGTTAGATCAATTAGTAGGCGTCCTGCCGGCCATCCATAGAAGTGTCACCTACTACTGATAGCTTCGTAACATGGAACGAAGGCACTAGAACTACTTCGTAAATATTCAAATGGCTGCTAAAATCGAAATCAGCACCAAAAACTACCCTAGAAACAAGTAAAACTCGAAAAAGTGAACCAAGGTCATCAAAAGGTCAATGACCTTGACTTGACCTTCACGTGACCTTGACACCCACCATTATGCATGGCACCAACATCATTTCACATATTTGAACGTTTAAAACCACAAAAAGACTGGAAACCGCGGATAATGTGAGCTGGCATACGCCGAATCGTGATTCCGGCCAAACATGGTCTCGAGAAATATGCCACAGGTCAAAGGTCAGTTGGGTCAGAGTCATGAAATTTTTAGGTTAGATGTAAAATTGATGATCTCGAGGGTACCGAAAGTTTCGGCGCGATCGGCCGCTTTTTGAGCGAGTAATTTGCGGAAAACCATGGGGTTTTATCCGACCCCTTCCCCCTCCCCCTCCCCGCAAGTGCGATGGTTAATAAGGTTACGGTATGTATAATTTACGCTTGTCATCCTATTCCTAATGAATGTGTCTCAGAAAATATGCATCATATAAATCACGAAGTAAAATTATTCGCCTATGTCCGGAACATACCTATATCGTGCTGTTTGCCCTAGCGCTCCTCGAGTGGGGTGTTAAGATACTCTAATGTGAATATTCCGTGTTCAGGCAAGTTTCGGCAGCCAAACTAGGCGTTGTCTTGTGCAGAAGAAAGTGGCGAATTCCATAGGATATATTTCGGAGTGGAAAAGTGTGGAGAACATTGTTGATTTCCTACATTTATTTAGAATACCATTCCTTCAATATGGTGTCTGTAAGAGTTTTTTTGTAAAGGGCATTTTTGTGACCTTAGTAAGGTTGTGGCATACTTTTTGTTTGCCATTCCATTCCTAATAAAGGTGCCTTTCAGACGATATGCAACTTTAAGACCTCGCAAGATTAAAACCAACAGGACAGGACAATGAAATTGAGCTATACTTTCGGGCCTTGCTGAGCCCATTGAGTAATCACGCATGAGTGTGAACTTTGGGCGCATTTTTCCTAGTTTTGCTGTGGACATACAGGGTGGGGCAGCATAATCGGGAATGCTTTCTGGGCTCTGGTCATGAGTAGGCATGGCATTATTTTGATAAGTTATATCATGGCAATGAAACGCCCAAAAGTTGTGCATCATCTGACATGACTACATCCATGAACATGCAACTTCCTGGAAAAGAGCAGCAAAATAGTTCGACGGTGCTCCAAGTGCTTTGCGCGCGCCCATAGACACTAATGTTAAACGAGTAAAACAAGAACATTTTGAATTTTGAATTTTGAACAATGCCATTCCACGTAAAGGTTGCTGGACAGGTCAACGTGTTATCACGGACGATAAGGATTGTGTGGGGATACTTAGGACAAAAAGTTAACGTAATCGTCGTAAAATAACTCTTAGCAGAGGACATACAAGATGACTCACTTGAATATAAGGAAGAAGCTCTTGAGCATATTAAAAAGAAACAATGTTCAAAACTTCAGCGACCAAAAATCTTATCACCGACTGGAATACGATAAAAAAGAATGGCATGCCATATAGGGGATTGTATCGAGAATATTGCAGCGGTCATGCACAGTAAACATCCTGTTGAGGTAATGGACCTATGGGTGGTCTTCAAGGGAGGTGCACGTGGTGCACTCTACTTCATCGAGCCCGGATAAAACGAGCACCTCTGGTAAATACATCCACACTCTGGCAGACTCACGTGGAGTCGTCGGAAGAGAGGATCACTGACGGTCCAGATCACGTCTTACGAGGACTCTGTCCGTGCTGGTACTGCAGTGAGGACGACATGTTATTGTGTAGGGCACTTCCACCTGAGATGAACCAAAAACTTCTGGTCCTTCAACTCCGCCGATTTAAATCCGACCAAATTCTTTATATGGAGCGTTTTTTGGTAGAAGTTTAATGAACAACTTATCATCAGTAAAAACGGTCTTCAGTGCAAGGTACGAAGCTGATGGGCGATCATGGACAAGCAGGAGGTTGCACGTGCATGCGCGTGCTTTTGGACCCGCCTTGAGAAGGTCATCGACGCGAAGGGCGGTCAAAAAGGATGAGGGATAGGTAAAAGGTGACCGATTGATGGGATGTTGTTAAAATAGTGCTTGGAGCTATATTTTTAAATTCATGACCAAATAATCCCGTTTGATATTTATTCCCGATTATGCTGCCCCACCCTGTACAGATAAAACAATGCCATATATGAAAAATTCAGACATTTCTTAGCCCTGCTGACACAAAAAATAAACAAAAATCCAAAAAATATTTTTTGAATTAATAGGCGCTAGATCGGAAAAATCCCCACTGTGCAGTGGGGCGCGGGTTAAGTCAAATATGACACATTTCAGTAAGAGAGTTAAAAGAGTTATCGAATGCGTCCACGACGCTCGTCGCTCTAGTAGGTACTTATAACTATTCTATTTTTCT